TCCTTCCGGAATCCTTTATCTAATTAAAATATATTAAACGCGTCTTCTTGAATTAAGTAAGAGATGCATGACGCTCAGAGATTCAATTTTATGTAAAATGTGTAAAGTATGTTTCTAAAATAAGAACATATGATAATAACTCCGCATCTACTGAGTTTAAAGAGAAAACAGAGCACTGTTTACAAAATTAGTTTGTTTATTATTTCAAAGTCTCGATGATGCAGCGAACCATTAAACTTTCGTGCAAAACCAGAGGCAGATATGAAAACTTGTAAAAAAGAATACAACCACCCATCTGATTTTTCAGAAATAGAAGCTAATACAACGTTTTTTTCTGCTGGATATCACAAAATTGTCGCCGCGAGCGCTTTTCTTTAACAAAATTAAAAAGTTCGCCGTTCGAAGGATTCAGTTCCGCTAACAAGGTTACCAGCGTCCATTAAAGTAATCGATCTCGGATAAATATTTCAATACTTTCACAAGGGCGTCCTAAACGAGATCTCATGTCATGTATGAAGTGAAAAACGAAACAGTTTCCGAAGCACGCTCACTTTCTTCTCCTATTCATTATTCTCTTTCGCGCTGCGTGAATTAAGAAAATGGAATTCCGAAGAGAAAAGATGTTAGTCATTTATTTTTTTAACGAAAAAGGATATTGATCCGTAATTGAAAGGCGTCGTAATAAGAAACGTCATTTCTGCAATTAAGAAAAAATGAGGAAACTTTGAAATTGTCGAGATACACTGATAAAGTTTGTCACCACACTACGACAAAAGATCTAAAAGAAATTAAGGTTTTCGTTCTCTCGCATCCATTTGTACCTCCTTTGAAATCAAACGACCAATAAATCAGTTCATTTCTTTGACTCAATCTCACCTAATCGTTCAGTAAAAGGTCGGATATTTTAACACGTTTCCTCGCCACTTCTCTCAGAGATGGAATAATGTTTAATTTCCAGTAACTTTAAGTAAAAGTCTATGAAACAGCGCTCACAAAATTGATGTTACGAAAAAGATGTGCTCTCTTTTGTGAAAATGAAAGAATCATCAAGTTCTTTTAACGAATAAACCGAAAGCATTCACCACGCTTGCAACATTCATACACAGCAACTCTGCCAAAAAGCAAATACTCTCATACCCTCTTAACTCTTTTGTTCTCCCTCTATATATATATATAAAAGCAAATAGAAATAAAATTCATTCCAAATTCCCTTCGTACTGATTTAAAAAAAAAAAGGTCAAATAAACAATTTCTGGATCAATTGTCACAAAGATACAAACGTCACAAAGAAAAAAATCAAATTACCCGATTGATGTTGATCAAAAATATACGATGGCAATCGTACACATTGCTACAACAATGGCACGTAAATTTGTACAAGCGGCGATAGATAAACATACAACGATCCTCGACAAAGCATCCACCTCTCTCCCGGTGAATATAACGCCAACAGCGTCAATACTACCTAATAGAATGGAACAATCTCTCCTCTATTATTCACAACCGGCGCGTCTGCCGCCGTCGCACTCGGGGACAGCACTCGCGGGCACTCTCGTGAGGATTATGCCGAAAGAAATGGAGCAATTGTCGGCCATACCCTCGCCGGTTACACTCTGCATCAAGCACGCGAACCTAGCTGTTTCCCTATCACACCCGAGAGATGCGTCCTCGGCTATGTGTCATCCACTATCGGGCCACTCGCGACGCACATGAGCGTAGCTACGCTCGCGATGCACCGGTAGATTGGTATTTGAGCGTGTTGGAGTTCATAAAGGAAGATAGAAAGAGACAGAGAAAGAAAAGAGAAGAGAGAGAGAAAGAGAGAGAGAGAGAGAGTGTGTGTGTGTGAAAGAGAGAAAGAGAGAAGGAAAAAAGAGATGAAGAAAGATAAACGGAGCGTGTGTCAAAAAGGATGAAAAAGACTGAGAGGAGACAATGGGGATGCGTAGCGAAAGATGCAAATGACCAGGTGCGCGTTTCTCCCGTCGAGCGTTGCCTCGGCGTTAACCGGAGCCGAGGCGATGTACTCTCGTGCGCCTTCGTCGTATTGACGTTGACGGCGGCCGAGACCCAACTGACGAAAGGGTTCTCTCTCTCTCCGGCGGCGACGCCGCGGCACAGTGCCGTAGCATCCGGAAAAGCGAACGGATTTTCCGAGTGCCCGAACGATGTGCGAAGAGGGGTGGCGGGTATCTATACTACCGACTATCACCGCGACTACCCTCAGCGCCACTACTAGTATTCCGCAGACCGGCGGTGGATCCGCAGCCCCGGCTGTTTTGCAAAAATTAGGTCACCCACACCTACCCCTCCACGTATCACCACCGAGGGTATGGTTCACGCGGATGCATGCGCGTCTCATCTACTACCCTACATATTCTCTCTACATATCCATCCATCTATCTATCTATTTATCTATTTATTTATCTACACGTGCATCTATTTAGTTATTTATCTATCGATATATCTCTCTAGCTATTGTTTGTCTAAACTTTCACTCGATGCATGATTTTTCCACCGATCTCATCCAAGTAAACCAGAATGTGATTGTCGAGTTGTATTACCATTGATGTGTATTTCGATTGATGTTTCTACCTTTGATATATCTTATGTCATCATAAATCGATAATAGTTGCCCTTTCGTGTGATAAAATGAAGAGTAAGAAGGATCTCCATGCAGAATACCGATAAAATACGATTACGCGCAAACTCAAATTTCTATTTTACATATATCTTTTATTCGTGTCGGTACAAATACGTCAAGTCACTTATTTGTAATTCAAATAATCTAATAATTATAATATAAAATCAAATACGATAAAGAATGCCAAGAACGATCAAATTTTTGATGTTACTTATATTCTTTTATATATTGTTTTTATTAAATCAATTTATTCCCGATATAATTGCGAGAAGAAAATAAAAAAGAAATAAATTTCTTTCTTTCTAATTTATTTTCTATTATTAATTAGGGGGATTAGCGTTTCAAAATAATTGTGTTAAAACATTATCGGTTCGCAATTATACCTGGAATAATTTAATAAAAAGAATATATAATGTTAATAAAAGAATATATAATTAATTGTAACATCCAAAATTTGACCATTCTTGGCGTTCTTTATCGTATTTGATTTATTCACATATGTATTTATACGTGAATTAAAATTCATGCTTAAAATTCTTAATATATAATGTAAAATAATAGTTATAAAATGTTATACAATAATATAATATAAATAAAAATTATAATATACAATAACAGTTTAAAAAACGTTAACAATATAATTGTCAAAATACTTGAAAACACTTTTCTATACTGGAAAAATATATTCAATTTTAATAAATATTTGTGCAAATAGTATTAACTTAATACATTTACATACGATAAATAAATATTTACTAAATAAAAAAATGCTAGTTAAATCAAATTAATAATTTTCTAAATAAATATATGTTTATATTTGGTAAATATTCAGCTAATATACTGTTTAGATAAAAATTTATTAAAATTTAGTATAAACATTTTTCTCTCGGTATACGAGCATATAAAAACATGCGATATATCCATGATGTGCAAATATTTGATTTTGTCATTTTTCTCCGCTGTAAGTTACGATAAATCTCATCCTTCTATCGCAATATTGTATTTTTAATCACATTTTATGTGATCCCCTTTCTGCTATGTATGTCCTCTTCGATTAAACGGTAGAGAATATATTTCTGTAAATGTACACATACGCATCCTGACAGAGTTAATTTCTTTGCCAAGCCTTTAGCGGACTAATTACACTCATCCACGATAAACGTTGAGCACAAAGCAGTAAAGTTTAATTACTTTCGAGGCCGATATTCGTCGACTCGCAAATCGGTCTCCTGCTAGATGAAACATTGTGTTTGTCTTAGATGTTTACGCGCAGAGTTTCTTTTGAAAAGGCGATTTAACGAAACTATTCAACTGCGTACTTATATGCTGCTTTTCAAAAACTACAAGTTTCAAAACTTAATCTATATAAATAAAGAATTCATTTTTTTTTTAATTAGTAGTTGGCATAAAACTTATTAAATTTAATTAAAATGACTGGAAATGAGAATGAGTAATTCGAATTATTGAATATCCGTGCAAATTGTAGTAAATTTATTGAAAGAAACTAACGGGAGCTATTTGCGCGAATAATTAATTAGTATCGCCTTTCAATATTGTATTGAATATATTTGCTTTCATTGTTTCATTGTGCGCATAAGCTGCAAATTGCAGGCGTTAAAAATTTCTGCGAGAGGAATCAACTCTCGTGCGTATCGATTGCCACATAACAGGCTGACATTTTCCATAAAATGGTTCTTAAATCGATCCTGAAGTAATATTGTATATTATAAATCACCATAAAAAAATCTCCATAAAAAATAACAAATTTATCATCTTCTCTTAAATTCTCATCCCTGAACACATCTAGTAAAAATTATTTATCACGTCATCTTGCAATATCTTATCTTCAATGACTTTTAATTTTAATATTAGATATAACAAGTCAAAATTATAACACAACATCCATTATAACATGTAATAATGGATTTTGTGTTACAATTTTGACAAAATTGTTTTATTTGAATCTCTTTTTATCGCGTTATAACCTTAACTTAAATTTAATATGTGCTACAAATTTAATATATAAATAATTTTTAGTATTGTTACTAATTAACTTTGCCGCTTACACTTTTGTTTCAAATCTCACATAAACTTCATCCAAGCACTCGTCCAAAGTCTTGTCTCTCTTCTCTCACACTGAATATATATCCCAGTCATTTTATCCCATTGTTACAAAAACGATTGACTGATCTGAATATTGTATTCTACTCCTCGTTATCGTTTGATAATTAAATCCTTTATATTACAGGTACACAAAGGTCAGAGCGATGTTTTAGTAATATTCCTTCTACTATTCCCAGTTAACCGCGATAATAATGAATATTTAAACGTCGAAGCAAATGCAAAATAAACAAACTCTCTGATCCAAAACGCATTGTGCGAACTGAACCTTCGCTAAAAGCAAATGTGATGCATTTAAGTGCATACTAGAACACAAGAAGAGGGCTTTGGAAGCTCGAAAACGATCCTGCAGTAATTTATTGATCGCAAATCGGCATTTCGGTACGATGCATCGCGCAGTTCCCTTCTCCTCTGCATCTGAATCCCTATAGTGATTACAGACGAGTATCGGATAATTGGATAATTAGCGTGCGCGATTAGTCTAGCACATGGAATCGTCAGTGTCACTTGAACAGAAACGATCATTTCGTACGTGATTGCGTACATAACGCACTGACGCACATAGCACAGAGCACACAAACTATCATCGATATTTATAAATGATCACTAAATTACTAAAGTGTTAGAAGCAGCGTCTTTTTCGACTAATTAGTTCCACGATTTAGCGTAAAAAAATTATCATACACATATAATGCAGGGTATAAAAAAGTTTGACTACCAAGTGTGTATTAAATTATTAATAATTTATATTTATAAAAAAAAAATTCTGAACTGTTATTTGAACTTTAAACCTATTTTAGACAATCTTTAATTCAGGGCAAGATTTTATTTATGATATTACGTATCGTATAACATAGAAAACATTTGAAGAAAATATATATATGAATAACATACACGCGTATGGAAAATATATATTAATGATGTATATTTTTTATATGTATGTATTTTATTTCTTTAAAAATTTTCTATTTTACATGATAGGCAAAATTATAAATAAAATTCTGTTTCGAATTTGGTCGTGAATTATAGATCTAAAGTGGACTTTTAATACCAAAAATAATAATTAATATTCAAAATAATATGAGTTTTGATATAAATTTTAAGTCGCTTCGGGAACGTATCGACGGTGGCCGCGATTATTTTTCCACGGATAAATTCTCTCAGATAACCAATAGACTTCAGTTCATTAACCGATAAAAATTTTAGTGCAAAATTTTTTTAGTATTTACTAAGATATATAACTAACTGCAGAGTTTGTTTTTTTTTTAAATATATGTTATTACTATATATTCAGGTGGCAAACTTATTTGTCGTTAATTTAATACCACTGAATTGATAAACTTAAAACTTTGTAGTTGAAATTTTTTATCACCCTGTACATTTTTTTAGATGAAAGCTATTACTTATAAGTTAATGCTTTATACAAAAATATAATTATATCTGATTTTTTATTATGGCGATATATTATTTTGGTCCTGCGTTTGCAACATCAAGATTTGTATATTTATTTCTTTCATATTTTTATAATTACATTATTATAGCAAAATAATTAGGAGTAAATGCCCCTCATTAAAGAAATCTTTAATGAGAAAATAATATAGAATACGTGAAAACCAATCAGCTTCACCATCCATTGTGCGAATCAGTAACTACACTTCAAAATTGAATCGGAGCTGATAGCGAATCGAGCGAACTAGCGCTCTTCTATATTTCATCCCCGATTTCTCATCAACTTTAGTGTTTCTATATATTAGATTGATTCTATGCTGAAAACATGGAAAATATAATGAGAACTACCATGTGATTCGACACGGAAAACCTGTCACCATCGCGTCTCTCTCTCCCCCCTCTCCCTCTCTTCCTCCCTTTCTCCTTCCTCCCTCTC